ATTCCCAAGCAAGATGAATTTAGATGACCTGGTAGATTTCATGATGCCTTTATGAAATAAACCCACACAAATCATCTTCCTTTCCACAGAAAAATAAAATAGCAGAATAGAGGCTTATTCATAGACCATACTTGCTACAATTGTGCTGTCTAACCAGCAGTTATCTTCTCCCAGGCAGAAGAAGCAGAAGTCATCAGCTGCTCGCTAGATATAAACACTCTAAATGTGACTGAGAGCTGTTCTTTTCTAAAAATAGATATACTCTGTGTGTATGTCCCCCAGCATGGCATATCCCTAATTAGATGTATAAAAATGACTTTTTTCTATTGATCTGTCTATCTGTCTTCAATATATAATGGTGGAGTCCTTCAAAAGTAAGGCTGTTACTGCTTTTTAACAGTGGTTTTTTATCAGGGTGTCATATGCATTGTAGTGCAATTCAGGCAACAAGGTGAAGGGTTCTGTCTCAGTTTTTGTCACACAGAATGCTTGTTGGATTACATGAATAAACCACCCTTAGAACACAGGCTGGACCCCAATCTTCTCTCCCCATATTGACTATTCATGAGAAAAGATTGCCATGTTCATTCTTACTTTTTCCCTAATTCTCAGTGGATCTTCAAGTTGTTAATGCCAAGTGTTTCATTATGCAAGTATTCATGTATTCATGCACAATGGCCCAAGCAGATTGTTCTACAGCAGTCAAGGTCAGTCCAAGTTGGTGTGGTTTTACACACACATGTGCACACACATGCACTTTCACTGTGCAGTCTGAGTGCCAGGAGTGGTAGGAGAAGGGGAAGGAATGCAGAAATAACACAGACTGGTTTACACTTTGGGGAAATGACAATAGAGGTAGGTCAACAACTTAAACACTACTTTCTGGGTCTAGTTCTTCGTCAGTTAGTACTTGGAAGTCTGAGAATTTGAGGACAGCTCATTTTCTTAAATAACTCCAGTACATGAGAAGATGGTCTAGATTTGCAGATATTTTTAATAAATTAAGCATTTATATATATAAATGGCATTGCTTTCTTAAGTGGAACATTAACATGTGATTAGATGGATTCTATCTGTAAATTATCTTTGAATTACAGCTGTTGCATGTTTATCTAAAACTTTAATTTGGAGTTTTTGTGATATTGCTTATATGACAGAATTGCTTTCTTTGTAAAATTCTATGTCAGAAAAAATTGTGCTTCTTATGTCAAGTGGAAGGTGACGGTCAGTTTTATGTTTTCAAACAGTCTCAGATGCATTTCACTTGTCTCAAGTGTGTGTGAAAACACTTGCTATGCTAGCTCCTATACTCGACTGACTGAAATTATTTTGGGTATCCATGCACAGGCAAAACCTGAAAACCTGGCACTGCATACAGAATGCCAATTTCAATAAGGGGCTAGCAGTACCTAGAGTGGAGAGCTTCTGACTGGTTATAGGGATAGCGAAAGTTAAGTTTAGCTATGGTGCATTAGTTATTATCTTGAAGGATCTCTCAGGTTGCACTAAAGTGCTGTTACGCTTCAGAAACACTCAAAAATACTTTACAATGGAGGTATCCAAGACCTGATCCAAATTGACTGTGGCAGGTGACATTCAGGCAAATGAGCAGTGTTACCCACAAGGCAGCATATTGTTCCTGGAGGGCTACATTACTGTTGTAGACTAGAACATATTCCAGAAATGCATTAAGCTACAATCAGCCTGGTTGCAGGTGCAGTTTCACAGGCTTAAGTGGCTTTGAATCAACAGACAGCAAATATCAGCCTTCCACGGTTTGCGTACAGAGCCCCCAGACAGGGAGATATGAACAAATTGCAAGCAGCATCTTTGTGAATCGGCTCAGAAGGGCATTTCTAGCTGGGCACTTTCACACTGGGGGCACTTGAACCTGCCTCCTCAGAGAGGAGCTGATGGGGGAGTTCAGCAATTGCAGTCTGGGCAGGTCCAAATCACCCCACCTGGCATGAAAAAGTTACTACAGATGACAGCAGTCCAGTCAGTGCAAGAAAAGGCTGTCGAGTTACAAATGGGAAGGGGAGAGAGGAGGGCTTCAGTACAAGTTTTTAGGTCTCACAGGGAGGAACCAAGACATCTGGATGGTTTTCCCACCCCATACCTTCTTCTAAAGAGGGGTAGCTGGCCAAAGTGTGGTCAGCGAATTTTAGGTTGGACAAAGGGCTTCTGGGCTAGGACTGGGCTGCTTCTCTCTTGAATGTGGAAGCCCTTATTGCCTTGATGGAGGCTAGGGTGACAAAAACTGGCCCGCTCGTCTGACAGCTCTGCCTGGTGGTGCCTTTCTTCAGCAGGCAAGCAGAGATAACTGCTTTTCCTCAGGTGAGGTGACTCAAAGCCATGGGGCTGGTGGCTTGCTTTCTTCTGATCTGCAAGCACCCAAATCAGTAAATAGTAATTTTGAAAGCTCTTTTCAGTGGCTGGGAGTAGGACTTTAATTTAGTCAAACTAAACACATTCTCACGTGTTTAAACCCTGGGTGGAGATCTCAGAAACATGAATTAGCTGAGCTGATTAGGCTGAGCAACAGTGGCAGAACTGTTCTGCAAAAATCCTGTTGAAAACAATGTTTCCCTTCTAACCAAAATAAATTAACATTGTCTGGATTTAGCCTAATGTATCTGTAGCCTATTGACTTCTCAGTTTCCTTGAGCTGTCAACTTTGGTAAAGAAAGATACAGAATAAATTCTCCAAATCTGAATTTTGAAACATCTTTACACCTTTTATCATTATACATAAACAGTTGCATGCCACTTGCATCACTATGGATGCCCAGATGTGTAACCTGTTGAGGTAAAAGTTGGTCACCAGTATCTTTCAGTAAACATATTTTGATGTTTTTAGTGAAAATAGTCAACTTTGCTGGACATAACAAATCCAGGACAAGAGAGTTATGCAACTTCCTCCTGTAGAGGGTTTAAAGAAACAGAGAAATCCAATATTATCCTCACATTGTATCCTTTATATGTTCTTGGGGCATGGTTTGGGCAACTTGGGACAAGTTTAGAAGAGGCATTTGTCCGAAAGGGTCACACACTGAGTTGTTCCACAGCTGACCACTGGCACTCACTAACAGTGTTGGAATAGCTAGGAGTGCCAGGCATGTGTCCCATCGTGTCAGCCAAAGGTCCTTTGCTGGAATGAGAAAGGAAGCAAACCTCTCTAGATTAGTCCTCTCCCTGAGGCACCATTGCAGTCCCCTACCACTGGGGGGAAAGTCACCTGGGCAGGATCCTGGGCAGCCAGGAGGGCTGATAAGAAGGCTCTGGAGGGGCCGGCTCCAGGGACCTTCTGTTTCTGGCCTTGCAGGAAGGATGCAGAAGGTCAGCACAAATAGCTGACTTCAAGTGCCTACTCTGCTTCATTGCTGTGATAAACATGGCAAGTAAAATAAAGCAACCGGAAAGCTGCTGCTGACCCAGGCACGGCTGTTAAGCCCTGAAACGCTTCCTGACCTGCTGGAGTAATTGCTTAGTGAGTGTGTGAGGGGTATGTGTTAGGAACAAAGCCTGGAAGCACATAGAAAATGATGGTTTTTGCAGCCCATTTTGAAGGCTCAGAGAGCAATCTTGTGTTCCTAAAAGCATCGGGAGGGGGGTCTTGGGCTGCCTCTCCCAGCTGAGCTGAGTGATGGGAGGGTACTGGGGGAAGACTTCCCAACAAAGTGAGAATGTGCTGTAAGTGTTTTACAGGAAAGAGTTGACTTGAAAGGGTTATTTCCTTCTCCTTTCCCCATCAGAGATCCAACCAGCCTACCTTTTGTGAAGCTTTAGGTGGAGGGGAATAGACCAGAAAGAAATAAAAGTGGCTCACAATGCGGAGGCAAGGAGTTGTACCTGGGAAAGGACCGAGTGTAGCAGCTGATAAAGGCAAGTGAAAGAGGAGATTCTTTACAGAAACCGGCCACCATGGATGGGGACAAGATTCCGCTGGCCACATCTGTCCTTGGCATTCCCCAATGCACTGGGGGTCACACCTGGAAGCTTGGAGGGACCTGGATGCCTGTGCCCTCGAGGCAGGGCTTCCCTGCTGGGTGAGGCTGGGACAGGGGATGCTCAACAGCAGCGCCCTCGGGACCCTGCCATCGCCCTGAGTGAGCCTCCACGGCAGGCCGAGCACGAGGGCATGGTGCTGCCTTCGCACCTGCGTGCGGTGAGGGCCAGCCTGGCCGCAGCCTCTGGCAAGTTGGGGATCCCCCCTGGGACACAGTGCACAGTGGTGCAGGTGGCCACGCGTAGGTGGGCGGCCGTGAGCCCAGAGGTGCCAGTGCCAGGGGCAGGAGGGCGGGCGAGCACGAAGGGAGAATGGGACTGGTGGGAGGGCAACCCAGGCCATAGCTGCAGGCACCCTGATGGGTGAGCTGAGACGTACTTTTTTTAAGAAGTCACTTTGGTTCAACTAAGATTTGTTTTAGTAAGTGGAAACAGGTTCTGGAAAATGACTTGCAATAGAAAATTAGTTCTAAATTGTGTCCTCTCCATGACAAACTAGATAACTGTCTATAGCATGCTGCTTTTTCCATCTCTCCCTACTCAGCATAAACAGTTTCAGTCTTTTCACTCCATTGGGACATCCTTGTTCCTAGTCCATGCCTATACAACTGATGCATTCTGGGGTTTGGGGTTTTTTTGTTTGTTTGGTTTTTTTTTTTTTTTTGATCACTCTGGATTACCAGAAGCAATGATGTTTCCTACTAGTGATTTCACATTTACATGGGGGCAGAAATTGAACACAACTAGGGTGGCTTGGCCCAAGTGCCAGTTCCTTTGTATACCTTTTATAATTTTCCTTTCTCCCTTATCACTTCTATTCTTCCCCCTCTGCTCCTCCTCTTCCTGCCCCTCTTTGCCTCCCCTCCCTGTGCTTCCCTGGCGGCATTGCCGTCTCTGCACAGGCCCAGTTTCTCTAATCAGATGAAGCTGCAGGATTATCTCTCTCCCTCTCTCCTAGGCTCCATTTTATTTCCTCTCCAGCCAAGGGGGGAGGCAGGAAGGGGCGTCACGTCTGGGCAGAGGAAACCCCATCTCCCAGTCTCCTGCCTTTGATGCTCTTTAACAATCCCTCCTCCTTCCCCTTATCATATGCTCACCTTAGTGTCAACAGCATCAGGCAGATCAAGGAGCCCAGTTTCTGAAGGAAATCTGAACTCTTTTGGCTTTTGTTATGCTCAGATTTCTGAGCATCTATCTTAAATATTCCCCAGGTAACTTGAACAGGGAAGCTGGATGTGCAGTCTCTGAGTAGGGGGAAGGTAAGGACCATGGAAGTCATGTATTGCCCATTCTCTCATCTCCTGTAAGGACACTGAGTGCTCCCCGTTTTGCCAGCAGGTCTTTGAGAGTAACAAAGCAGATGAGAGGAAGGGAGCGGAGCGGCACGGAGACAGACCCAGGCTTCTGTAATTGCTGTGTTGGCAGCAGGGCATTGATGGCTGGACTGAAAAGCCTACGAAACTGTAGTTTTCTCTTTTACTAAGATGATGGAAACTATGGCTCTGAGCTTTAATTTAATTTGACGTAGTTCTGCAGAAGGTGAGTTTTTTTGTACTGGTGCCTTTCACTTAGATGTGTATGTATTTGTCTTTTAGCAAGTGTTTGTAGGATATGCTTGTCACTGTTTCTTTGGGGGAGAAAAGTCCCCATAATCCAGTTCATCTTATTCCCCTGCACATCTGCAAGTTTACAAAGATGCTTTTTGATTAGCTTTTATGTGTATGTTGGGTTTCTGATACTAAGAAAAAGACTAAATTATATTCCTCTCAATTGTTACCTTTTAGTACTAATCTGCCAGAGAATGGTTTCCCTTGATTTTTCTACCTTGTGTACCACGTGTGTTTTAAATTCTTAAGAAATTAATATCCAACACTAGAGAAAACCAGGAATATTTCAATGCCTTCTACATACCAGCTTTGTTTTATGCTCGTCTTTCCTAGATAAATGATCAATCACTGTTTAAAATGACTGATAAAATTTTCTGTTAAACTGAAACATATCTTTTCCAAAGTCAAAGATTTTATTTGGTCTGGCTTTTTATTGCCACTGGAGTAAATGTTTTAAATCAGAAACCATAGTAGAATAGTGTTTTATGCATATGTTGTCGTTTATAACCTCCTATGATTAAAAGTAAGAATTTGTGCTGATGTACTTCTGAATTTTAGAGGAAGAGCTTTAAAAGGGGGGGGGCGGGGAGCAAAACAGTTATTTCTGTTTGGAGAACTCTAAGCATGAAAGGTGACTGGAAAGATAACCAATTTATAAATGTATTTTGTAAGATGTTGATCTTGTGCATAAACAAGGTGGACCATATAAAGATCAAAAACTACCTCTTTTCTAGTGACTCACGCTTTGAAGTAATCATCTGATACAAAAATATTGGTGATCTCCTTGCACCAAAACATCGATTAAAGCTTGCAAATAGTTGTTTACATGTTTAAGGTTAAGCATATATCTGATTGTTTGCAGGACCAATATTGCAGTAAAATCCGATTTCAAAGACCCCTGCATGGAGTCTTTGTGTAAAAGAATTATGTTTGGGGAAGGTTCCATTTACGAGGGTGGATTAGATGAGGGCTTCATGTTTTCATGTTGTGGCTCAGTTATTCTATAAAACACTCCTCTGTGATTATAGGGTTTTGTTGATTTTTACCATCCAGACATTTTATCTTAACTGTACTCTAGAGAGAGCTGCAATTGCAGCTTATTTTATCTGACAATTATCTAGGGCTGCATAAACAACAAAAGCAGTGAACTGCATATAGCCTTGTGGTGTCTGAGTTGGTTTATAATACCGAATGTGATAATTCCCCATTAGATAACCATACCAAATCCACATTTTTCCTTCCATAGTAAATGATACATATTCCAAATACACTTGAAATATAAGAGTGTATAAGGGAGGGTAGAACAGACAAATTGTTATTGATGATCATTGTACTTCTGAAGTTTAATTTTCTTTCTGTTAAGGTCAATGACAAAGGGTAAATTAGAGGTAGCTTTAGAACACCCCAGATGAGCAGAGGTATTTGCTGTACCGGAGAGGTAACATTACACCTGTCTGCAGGCTGGTTCGTTCTGTGCAGAACAGCAGCAAAATCCTCTTCCTCCTTCAGTAACTCTTCTGATTAAAGAGGCTGAATTCTCCATTCTTTTCCCCTTAAGATGAGCATGGAGTGTACTTGACTGGTCCCCTGTATTTGGATATTGCAAGCTGTTAAACAAGGGGCAAAAGAATGCAGCCTAGGAAAGATGCATTCAAAGGCTCCAAAACCAGGCAGAGAGTTAGTTGTTAATGGTATTTATTAATTTTCTGTGTTCTGTAAGTACTTTTTTCCATGAATCAGAAAAAATAAAAGCCTTATTTTTGTTATTGTATGCCATAGTGTCATTGTTGCAAGTGACCCTCAAGTCATTGGGCAATTCTCTTCCTAAAAAGAAACAAGTTTGTATCTTTGGCAGATGCATGTGGTATTTCATTACTTGTAGTCCCAAACCATTCTTGCCCAAGGCAACAGTGTAGCGTGCATCATAATAGGCTGCAAATGATGTTACACTTCACTTTCCTTCTCAGCTTTGCACTTTTTTTTTTAATACATCCCACCCCTCCCACCCCCACCCCCCACCCCCCCCACCCCCCCCCCCCCGCCATTTCCTGTGACTGTGAGCAGCACCATGGAGATTGTGGGCCCCAGCCTTTTGGTTAATTCTTGCAGTTTCATTCTACAACAATAAGAGTTTTTTAACTGGTGCAAACTGTAAAGCTGTATGCATATACAGTACCAAAGGTGAAAACACTTCTCTTTGGGCTATTAAAATTCTGAAAGATCCGAGTCATCCAAACTCTTAATAGTCTTATTTTCCCTTGAGGGAATGATGGGGGGTGTTTCAGGGGCGAGAGTGAGATCTTTTCTGTAAAAGCAAAAAGAGGGGGAGAGTGAAAATAAATGTTGGAATACAGTGGTCAGGAATATCTGCACAAGGGATACAATGAGAAGGCAGTGAACTGACAGATACTAAATGATTCATTCTCTGGTTAAGATCATTTGATGCTATATTTCTTATGGATGCATTATAACTATTGAATTAATCTAAAGCTATGCAGCTAATAGTTCGTATATATGTTAAGAACTGTCCTTTAGGAGTATCCTCTGATTCCTTAGTGGATGGTGGGGAACAAGGTGGTCTCTTCCTTTTACGAAAGCTGTTAAAGTTCTCCTGAATAAAGTTCCACTCAGAGAAATTAACCTTAGTAACAGGAACCAAAAGAAAACACTTTGGGGCTGCTTAGGTATATATACTCAGAGCATAGGAATTAGGGACAGACTAACTAAATTAAGTTGATATCAGCCAGGTCTTGGCTACTGTGGTGTTGAGTGTGAGCACTGGGCACCTGAGTTATATCCAACCATTATTCTGCACCAAAAAAACATCGTAAGGAAGAACACCTTTAAACTGGCCTATCCCTGTGTGCATCTGTAAAGTAGTATGTTGTCCAAAATTATGGCTTAGCTCTTGCACAGTGTGGATTTAATACAAAACAGAGACAGGAGCAGGAGTATTTCTCCATCTGTAGAATATTTGCTTATTAAGCTTTAGCAAGAGCACACTTGAGTGTGCAAATGAAAGTTAATGGGATTGAGCAGTTGCAATACCTCCATTTGATTTGCAGAGCTTTACTCTAGTCAGTAGTGCATAAGACTGACAGAACCCAGTTCATCTGAGCTGAACTGAAAGATCCAACTTCCTTTTCAGATCAAACTAAGCAAACCTGACATGGAAATTGGAGAAATGATGAATGCACAAAACCATCCACTCTTCTAAACTGGATTTTTTTTTTAGACTTTAAAAATTATTTTATTGTTTTCTACAAAGAATCTGCTAGGAATATTCAGTGTTTATGACTGAACAGGGTGGTGAATTGAGTCTTGAAACGCTGTCAAGGAAAAAGATACATCTTGTTTTAGCATTTTATTTGGTTGTCAATGGCCTCTAAACTGTGGAAGGAGTGGAGTGCTTTTGTTGATTTAGTAACAAGAAAGGTGCTAACAGATTGGAAAGAAACTTTTGCAGTTCACTGCCTCCTTCATATGTATCACCTGGCTTGTAGAATACAGGGATCGCTTTTGTGGTTCCTTTCAAAAGTCATTCCTGGTTTATCTAGTTTCAGTAAAAGGTACAGGTTCCACTAATCAGTTAAACAAATGGTTTAATATTGCAAAATGGTTACACATTCCAGCTTCTTTTGAGGCTCAGGATGAGAAGCTATATGAAAAATTCTCATTGGCAATTACAGATAAAAGCACAAAATTATGAAAACAATATAAAAAAAAAATCATTGAATCATTCAGTTTGGAAGGGACATTGGGAACTCGTTTATTCCAACCTCCTGCTCAAAGCAGAGACAGCTATGAGGTCAGATCCACTTGGGCCTTGACTGTGGTCAAACCAATGTTTGAAAAACAAAGAATTCCTGTAACAGAGACTTAAATCAGTATCTTCTTGCTAGCAGTTAACAGCAGATGCTTAAAGAGTTATCCTCTAGCTGTCCATGTCATACAGGTGAGATCTTCCTCTACCCTGGTGATGACAGGAACATGCATTGTCTTGCAGCTCTTGAGTTGTTCCGCATTTATAGCTCAATATTTTGTGTTTCTGACATTATTAAATGTTAATAGGGAAGTAGAGACTTCTGCAGATCATTTTGTGGTTAAGATTAACCAAGAGGAGGGGAAACTTGCTTGTTTACATAGAGCGGGGTGTAAACATAAGTTCTTGAGGAAGTTCTTCACTTACTCGGATTTGACAAAACATTTGCAAGCTTTAGTCTGCTGCTTTACCGTGTACTGGTTTTTCCTCTCCTGAAGGTCTCTGGTGTCAAACGAGCTTTGGATAGCATCTTATGAGCATGGGCTCTCCTCTAGCCAAGCTCTAATGTTTTTCTTCTCTCAGTTGTGAGAAAGTAGAGAGATGCTCCCTTTCATCACTTTCAAATGTTTTCTGAAAACTATAGATAATAGTTTCCCACGTAGGTCTGATTAGACCACAGAGTAATTGGGTCAGTTGCTTTTTTGAGAGACACCATGCTTTGACATAATAACTGTTATTTATAACAGCTTGAAAAGGAAACTTACTCTTCCTAGTTCCTCCCATATTCTTTGTTTATATAGTTTCAAATCTAGCTTATACTACAGATGGACAGCGGGAGCTTTTAGCAACGCTATGAAACACAATTAGATAGTCGCCTTTTTAGTCCTTTTCAATACTCACTTGACTATGTGTATAGCATTACTTATCCCTCTGGATAGACATTGCCTGTTCTTTTCCAGTGTAAAGATATATAAAAGACAGCTTGCAGTGTGAACTGAAGACTTAAATTTGTCACAGAATCTCTCTGACAGAGAGACTTTCACTGAAAGTTCATCATAGTAAATAAAAGCTTGTAAGTGAATGCAGCACTGCAGGACAACATGGTCGGCAGTTGTGACAGCTCTGCTTATAAAGGTATAATGAATCTACTTACAGTAAATCATTTCTAC